TTGCGTAGGATTGCCATATCTACGGGCTACTTAAAGTAGGGAGCCTTGAGCTAACCCAAGATTTCTCACTTCAAAGCAAGACCTTAAGCTCATGATAGTGGTATCTAACTTGTTAAAGTGTAGGATTCACCTAGATAGATAATTCCAATATTTGAACGCTTATTGCATTAGATATATAGTGCTCGAAAAGTAGGACTTTTGGTGCTATGGCCTATACTGAGATATTTGTGTGGAAATTATGGGATTATGGGCTCAGCTTACATTCTATATGGTATATATGGGGTTGATACCTAACTCGGAGATGTGGATAAAATGTAGGTGGTTATTGCTGGCTCCAAAATTTCACATCCCGGGCTCTCGCTGAGAGTTTTGTTGTTTTACGTCAAATTTTTAAAAAGCAAATTAGATTGTAGATAAGATACTACGCAGAGATTTTGTCATTATTTTGTGAGAACTTTAATATATGAGATTTAAGATTTCTTATAGGCGCAAGTCCTTATAATTAATTCTCCTTCCTAATAATGGGAGAACACTTTCAATTAAGACTACTTGTTATGTATTAAATATTCATCGTATATTAACATTAGATTTAAGTTTTATGTTACAAGATTTATCATCGTGAACTTAAAATAGATGGTGAAAGAAATGATGACGAACCTGAGCAAGATTCTATTGTTATGTCGTCCTGAGGTGTCAGAGGTAGTCAACCCAACTTGACTATATTATCATTGTTAGCAGACATGAGTTTCATTGTCCAAGGAAACCTTATAAACTTGGGGCGATATTTGTCTAAGAGAATACTTTTATGTCAAGCTTAATTAATAGAAGGCTTTTTGCTATATCGAACATGGCCTATGCTTCACTGTAAAAGGGGAACATAACTATTATGGAACATACGTAATACATTTATGACCATAATTTATTAGTGTTACAAATCACCTAATTATAGGACTTTGGTTGCAATCACCTTTTTTTTTGTGGAGTTCTTGGGCTAAACTACTAGGAATGAGGATTCGGGCCACGTTCTTAATATTGTGAGATTGTTTTGAATGTGAATGTATAAAATATATTTGATCTGACATTTGTTTTTGTGAGCTAAATTTAATAATAGATTTATCACCCTTGACAAACTGGTGCGGGTGATAGAATTTGAATATTTTAGTTGATTGATTTGAAAACTCGATTTAAGAGTTAATGTGAATTTGATCCTTATTTTTGAGATTTTTAGATAACATGATCGTTATTAGGGTAAGATATTTGAAACATTTTTTTGACAATGTACTTGAATTTTGTTACTTTAATATTTTTAGAAGAGTGTCAGATTTGTCAACTCCAATCCCGATAAGGAGTATCACATTTATTAGATTAGAATTATGACCCTATTATATAGACAGTGCGGTCCGGTAGTGAACTTATATAACTTGATTATCTTAAGCTTGATTTTAAAATAAAGAGTTCTTACATTTACATGTGTAAACTTTCCAAGAAGGAAATTTGCACATTGCTAGATCGAGCAATTTGAGTGAAACTTTAATTCAAACCTGCACTTCATTCTCAAATTGTTCAGTTTAAACTATTAGTCTATTTGTTTGAGCACATGCGATTTGTAAATTTTTATATTTGAGCATCTTAAATAACTTCGCACTTTTTTCAGGGCATTTGCATGTTTTATAAGATTATGTAATTTGAGTTGCAAAATATTATATAAAAAAAGCATTTCTTAGAACTACCTTGAAATAAGTATTGTGTGTGAATATTTTATCATTAAATTGTTCACAATGTTTTATTTTGAATTTTAAAAGATTTCTTCTGTCCGCTTATACAAATGTTGTGTATTTGATGGCGAATATGACATTTTAATTAGTTTGAACATTTAAAAGATATTATTCATTTAATTTTAATCCTCATATGCTGAATTCTTGATTATTCATGGATCATAGAAGTCATGCGATAAATTTTTATTTATGTCAAATTTGAAACTTTTAACTTCAATAAATTGACCTAGATATTCTTTTAAAGGGTTATACCATCACTCAGTAGACAATTGTGAAAAACTTAAACAAGTCATGACACATGTTTAGTTCTTGGCCGTGTAAAGTAACAAATATTATACTCATAAATCTTTTTTTTGTTCACAATTTATATTTATATTTTATAATTTTTTATTTACTGCATATTTAGGCTCAAATGATCAATTTAAATTTTGCTTTTTTCAAGTTCTTTCATGTGAAATTTAGGTAGTCTCCCAGTCTCTTACATGCATAGGAGGCATCAACAAAGTTATTGAGCTTTCAACCACGCTTAAAAAAATGTGCATGGTTGGTGTTGTGTGACATTGTGGTTGTATAGGATATTTAACCCGCCGTGCTTAAAAAAGCACATAGGCCTTCAATGTACGTGCTTGAGCCAATTGCAAACATGAATGCTTCTATCGAGTTGGAATAACACAAACCAGTACTTATCTAGTAGTTTTTCTCACCATTTTAGAACAACTTAAACAAGCACTTATTTAGCAAAATTTTCCTTCTTTTGTTAAAAAAAAATCAAACAATTATTTGTTTAGCAGATTTTCTGTTTGGTTGGAAAAAAATCTGCATGGGTACTTAGGATTTCTTATATTTTATATTTTTGTGTGTGATGCAGTCAGTGACGACGAGACAATGCATAACCTTAAATTTCTTTTATTTTTTTTTACTCTTTGATTTTTATGATTTTTTAAAATATAATATAATATATTATATATATTCCAAGAAAGAAAAAGGGGTGGAGAGGGTGTTCTGGATAAGCAGAAGGAGCATACTCAAGAAGGCGGGCATGTGGGGCATGTGAATAGTTGCATGAGAGAGATTGTGGGTGAGTTCAAAAGGTTGTAGTTGAGGACTCTGAGCTTTTATTAAGTTTGATTTTTATTTAGCCCCCCTTCCAGAAAGGTGTGGAATTCGATCCTACGCAGGAATCAAACCCCCGACTCGAAAGACTTACACCAAAGGCCGCAACCAATGAGCCAGGCTAAGAAACAAACTAAATTATATATATATATATATATATTATTAACCTTATTTAATTTAGTTTAATTGAGTATGTATAATTATTATTAATTTTTTATCATTTTTTCTTTGCAATCGTCGTCACATGGCTCTAAACTAGTGTCATAGGCTTACATAAGAAAAACTTATATTTCACATTAATGTAGATACCCAAGCAATCTGGATATGTCCCTTTAAATTTTGATGTTCCTAACACATCAACACAGTGCGTCTTCTGAAGAGATGTCATTTGGTTAGCCTCGACCGCTATCAATGTGATTTATTCTTAATATGTCGTCTTTAAGTTTGTGCGCAGCAGCATGGACACGAACATTACATTAATATGATGGCATGACATATCCGCAAAAAGTTTTACACGAAATCTCATGGACACAATATTATATCTTTTCAAATATTAATATAAAATAAATAATTTAAGTAATTTCTATTAAAGGCATCATAAGGTGAAATATAATATCATATACATATACTTTACAAAAGGATTAGAGTTATTGAAATAACGGATCAAATGAAAAAATAATTATAATTTCAAATATATGAATAATATATGATAATTAAATTCAGGTTCTTGATAATATTTTTTCTTATCTTATCCATATAATTGCTGATGAAAGCCTTCTCATTGTAACCAAAGTCCGTATTAATGGAACTTTTAATTATAGATACAGAATTAAGACATCTTATATGTATTATTAATGCAAAATGATGCTTCATAGGATAGGGCCGGGACTATTTGGTGCATGATAATGATGATCTTCTAATGATGACTAGTTTATGTTTACTGAATGTCGGTTTTACATACAAAAATTTTTATGTTTTGAGCTTAAGATCTAAAGTTTTTCATTTCATCCCAATATCATGTATTGGTTATGTCCCTAATAGTTCACCTGCAAATCTAATCTTTCTTTTTTTTGCCATGATTGTTCCATTTTATTTTGTTTTATCTTTCATTGGCCTTCATATATGTTTGCTATGTGTTAGAAGTTTGATATTTCGTCCATCTATATATATGAAAATTTTGGGTCATGTAAAGTAATTATTTGTATGGCACAATATATATATATCCAACACACACATATTGATATTTCTTCCAATATCTATATATATCAGCGCGTGCGTGTGTTGGAGTTTTAGTATCATCTATTTTTGGTATGACTCAGGGGCTTGGTTTGGCAGAACCGGCCAAGGGTTCAACATGACAAGGAGTCT